CTTATAAAGAGTTTAGGGTGGAATCTTGTGCAGTGAAAGTCAAATTCCACTAAAATTCGATCCCGACTGAACTCATAACAGCTTTACAATTATTGATCTTAAGCTTACAGAACAAAAAATTCAACCTCAGATCAGCAGAGAGACCCAAATGCTAAGCTCTAATATTGGATAATTCAGCAAGCAAACAACAGCATGTGAAAAATTTACAGAGCAGACTTCCTTGTAATGGGTTCTACTTCTAAGACACTTGGATTCATGAAAGCAAAAGCAAGAAGTTCCTGATCCTGTTCAAAAGTAGCCATGTCTTCCTCACTCAAAGTCACCCAAGCCTCTATGCCACCATCCTCTCTTGTGCTCACCAAAGAGGCAACATTATTGTTTGAAGCAGCAGGGACTTTACTAAGCCAGATTGGCTTTCCCCACCCAAAACTTACCCCATACAATAACTTATAATTACACAAATCCGTGCCCACATAAAAGTTAATAATGTCATCTCTTTTGATCAACTCATCTGCCTCTTTGAAAGACTTACAAACCACCTGCAATGCCTGATCTTTTTGAAGTCTTTTGGCATAACTGTTGCTCAATTCTTTTATTCCTTTCCTCAGTTTAGCAACCAAGCATTGCAGCTCCAACTCAGTCTCATCTGTATGTGCAGCAAAGTATCCCACAAGGTTCCCAATTGAGTCATCTGACAAAGGTGGCACGACCCTTTTGCGGATGTCCACAGATTGGGACAAGACAGATAGCTTAGGAGACTGCAGTGAGCTTGATGATCTTGATGCAGCAGCCACTGCACATCTCCAGATGAGGGCTGTCACAGCTTCGGCATGCGTAGGCTGATCCACGATTGCACTGGCCGCTTTAGTCCTAAGACCTGCAATCTTGGATGCATAAAAAACAAACCTCTTTGTAACAAAATTCACTCTCTTCACATCCACTGAAGACTGCTGGAATGAGGAGGCGTGATCAGTTGGTGGAAATTGGAACGATGCAGAGAAATCTGGAAGTAGAGCTTGACTAAATCCAAGGGCAGTGGCTGACCAGGCCATAATGAATGTGCTTAATGAGGCTGCATCGGCCAACTTATGTGACATACAAACCCCAATTGCCAATCCACCACAATCAAAGACATTGGCCTGAACAAGAAGCAGAGGTCCCCTGCCTGCTTCAGGGGACTCTGCGTCTACAGGAAGGAGCTTTCTCAGTGTCTGAGCATCAGGTTTTGAGAGAAAGGTAGACAGAAGGCCATTGACTCTAGCTTCCACATAGTCAACCCCATGGTCATTGCAATCAATGGAGATGTTACCTTTGATTCTTCCGGCAAGCGGGTAGAAGCGAGTTAAGGTTTCGGACAGTGATTTCTTGATGATCCAGACGGATTTTTCGGGGGTTGCAAT